CAAGTAGTATTTTATCAATCTATTTTATAATCCATGTACACCACAAGTGACTGGCTTCTCATATAAAACATAAGTTTCAAAACTAGGGATATAACAGAAATTTATTCTGCATGCTTGAAATATTACTCTAGCTATGTGACTTTGAACAATACTGGATGACATAAATATCAAAATGGTTTACAAATTATGAAAGTACACCTAGTAGGCTATACTTCATTAGTTCCAGGTTTACAGTTGTGATATCGTGAGATGTTATATTGTGACTTTATTTTAGGCCTGTGTAAGACGGTAATTAATTATTTGTGTTATTGTCATTAAGTGGGTAATGAGTCACAAAACAAATAATCAAAACATTTCAGAGGTGGGGGTGCCAAAAGTGTCTTTGTCCCCTGGTGCTGAGAACCCTTGCTACGCCACTGAACCCACAATCTCTCACACACCTGCGAGAGCTCTACCATCTAAACTAAAAAGCGAGGGCAAACATGAAATTAATACAATTACTAACAGTTTACTTTTTCAAGTAACTAGTTTTTATATATAAATAATATTCTGGTTATATTCGAACGTAAACCTCCCATGTTGCAGTTAAATATTGGCTTGAAATGATATTTACAAACACCGGTAAACATTAGTAATATGATGTAATAAAATAATACTACATTTGCTACTTTTCAATTATCTGCAATCAATAAACCATTTTTTTTTTTTTATATAGAGTTGCATTGTTCTATAATGTCAGTTCTCCTTATTAAAGTTTCACGTTTTATATTTTTATTCCATGCAGAGTTAAGTTACCTTGATAACCTCCTTTTACTTGTTTAATATTTACCTCGCGTAATAAATGCGTCGGATTAAGATTAACCTGTGTTTGTATTTGAAGTGTCTCGATCACCCGTTTCAAAGTGGTACAATGAAAAACTTCGTATACAAAAATCGTAAAGTGTATTTTAATTTCCTGTCTTTTGGAATCTAGCATATATCAACAATGATATTAATGTTTGTAATATATTATCATGAGTCAATTTATTTCATAAAGAACAGTCTTTTTCACAGGTATGATAGAGCTCAATTTTCTGTCTAGTATTTAGGCTTCTTCTACTTGCGCGAGTTGCATATTTTCTAGCGCCATCTATCGCAGGACTACAGTATAGGGAGTTAAGCATTTTAATCCCCCGTATGTACACATTTATATTTTATGGATAGCAGTAAATTTACTTGAAGGTTAATTATATTGGTTTAAAGTACTTTATTTATTGATAAACAGTGAAATAATTATAATTCTGATAATTATGTTCTATTAATTCTTACTTATTATTTATGATATATCCAATAAATGAACAAAATACAATTTTGAAATTATACTAGCTTCAGTAAGGTTGTTCTTTACATCACCAGCTCAACAATGGACATATTAAAAAATTGTATTGGGACACTTATTAGTTTTAAATAGCATTGCGCATGCGTCATGAATTTGTCAGATGTGTCTAGGTCTACTCTTGTGTTCAGAAAATGGTGAAATATTTTCAATTAGAGCTATGATTCACCACCCCATTTTTATAGATTTCTACGACATTTTACACACGAGTTTGACCCATAAAAACTACCTGGGATATTTGGAACGTTGATTCACCTAGTCCTCTTTAACACCTGAGTGAATGGCCCAGGATCTAGTTTAGAAATGTTTGCTTTCTTACTAGTATGGTTGAGTTCGTCGACCTTCGGTTACCGAAGCTTCTTAACGAGGTTCGTGTTATCGTATTTTAGATGTAATTAACATCGCTTACTTTGCTTTCCTACTGCCTTTTTTACTATATTAATAGTAATATTTATTTCTATTATAACGTATGTAAACGCTTTTCTTTTGTTAGTGTGCAGTTCACTTGTAGAGTGCAAAATACACACTTCAACTTTACCATTGAACTAACACACGGAGTTTGCAATGTAGGTTTCGTTGCCTCATTTGAACTATTCATATACATAGCTTGTTTCAAATATAGACAACGACGTATATGCCACCTAGGGAATAAAACGTCAGGTTATACTAACCAGTGTTGTTGATCTCTTGCGTTAGTCTGTCTTGTGTTTCAGGTGAAACTAACGGGGCGATTATAGTGGTAGTAGTCCAGGACAAAGAACCAAGGTTAGTTCATAACTGATTTGCATTTGTTCTCGTTGAACTTTGTGGTATCGTCTAATACATTTCATAAATATGATTAACAACAAACAGATTTGTATTATTGGTGGAGGGTCCAGCGGATTGACCTCTATTAAAGCTTGTTTAGAAGAGGGATTAAAACCAATATGCTTTGAAAAAACTGATAAACTTGGTGGTTTATGGCGTTACCGAGATGATGATACAGATGAATTAGCCTCAGTGATGAAGTCTACAATCATCAACAGCAGCAAAGAAATGAGCGCCTACAGTGACTTCCCTCCTCCGAAGGAATTTCCTAATTACATGCACA